CCCGACTCTACGGAACAGATACCGGCTATCAAGTAAAAGATCTTAGGTCCAGGGCCAACTTCTTAGCCAAAATCTTCACTCGAGTAAACGGGACACGGATTTTAATTTTGTTTATCATGTTGGCGCACATACAGACACACCTCCAGACCGACAAAAGTCAATATAACCTGAACGCCATGCTTGTTCAAAGCCAACTAACAGTCCATGTTGCCCTCCATGCCTTAGGAGAGGGAATGAAAGAAGAAAAGATGAGATAAACCTGAGAAAAGAAGCTCCTTATAGATCTTCGACCCTATCAGATGCGCGAAGGTCCCTTAGCATGGTCATCTGAATACCTTGCTTATTCGAACGAGCAGCTTGCCGTCCTTAATTGGTCGACACTTGGTGTCCATCAGCCTGACATAGCGATAGCCGGGCCGCAGACGGTCGAGACGGATACAAGCCCACGACAACAGCTCGTCGCGGCCCATTCGTGAAACATCTTCGATTTTAAACCTGGAACAAGTAAATGGCGGTCAGCAAAGGGGTCATTCACGCGGCAGGCAATCAGCCCTCTTTTTTTTTTTTTTCCTTTTAGTGCATGTCACCATCCCTCCCTCCCTGTGTTTCCCCAGGCCGTATGTAAGTGGCAATCCCGCGGCAGCCTGACAGCTGCATGTCCAACACGAGCCGTGGCAGCAGGTCGTCGTTTGAGGGTTCGGCATGGATGTGTCGTTTGTGGCGCAGGACACCCGCCGCACCCGCTTCCTTTGGTACCATTGTACCAATGCGTGAGAAAAGAAGACTTCGTTTCGCCTGCTTCCAAGGCTGCAAGCTCTCATTCGGTTGCACCAGCCGTGTTCTCAGTGGACAGGGCGTTGGTACGGGAGATCGGGACCACTTGGCCGATCAATTTGCGGTTGCTCACAGGCGGTTGACACGTGAATTCTTGAAGAGAGGCAACTTTCCAATCTGCCATTTGCGAGTGCCAGCGTTTGCAGCAGCGGATGCTGCTTGTTGCTTCGTTGACAAGATCACTCGATTGCCAGAGCAACGCACGCCATGTATTTCGGAGGGGGGGGAGGAGGAAGAAAAGAAGAGGGTCGGGATCTTACCTCACAAAACTGAGCTCCTCCACCACCTTAGGAACAAGCGGAAACTTGAGGAGCTCGCCTTTGTCGCCCCAATCAGGATGACTCGTCTTCATCGGCGCCGTCTCCAGCTTATACTTGCCATCATACGATGCGCCGCCGCTCCCGCCTGTCATGCGATTGCTGCTCCCCGTCCGCTCCACGTGGAGTTCGCACTTGACCAAGGGCCGGAGGTTCCTACCACTCCAGCCGCTGTCGCTTTCCGTAGACTCCGGCGCCCAAATATGCTGGCCGGCGAGGATCGAGATGGAGAGCATCAACGTGCCGGCGTGCGGGGCGTCTGCCTGCGCGAAGCACGTCTTGTCCGAGGTCCGGTAGCCCGGAGGCTTGAGCACCCAGCCCTGCTCGCCGGCAAACATGCCCTCGTTAAGCATCATGCCCTCGTCCAAGTACTGCCAGTTGAGGGCGACCATCTGGACGCCCTTGCGCCAGAAGAGACTCGAGTCCGGATTGGAGCTGTCGAAGCGGGCGCCGTTGGGAAAGGCGCGCATAAAGTAGTTCTTGTTGTGCGTGAAGACGGCGCTCTGCATCGTCGCGTACAGCTCGAGAATCCTGCTCTCCGCGATGGAGTAGATGTGGCTCGGCTTCTTCGAGACCGTCTCGAAGCCCTTGAAGTGCTCGCTGTGCGTGTAGATGGCGAGATCGCCCAGCGCCGCGCACACGGGCACCTTAGCCGCCTTGGGCGGTGCGCCGGTCGTAGGCGGAGGGCTCTTGGGCGCGGTGCCCGAAGGGTGATGGCGGTGGTGCTGCTGCTGCTGGCTCGCGTTGTCTTCGTCAGATGCCGATGTGTCTTCCTCCTGCGTCCTGCTTTTGGTCAGGCGCATCGAGCCGAACGGCACCTCGATCTTCTTGGGCGGCTTCTTGCACTTGATGAGGATCTTTCCCCGCAGCTCCTCGAGGCTGGGCACGCGGAACCTCTGGTCAAGGCCGTCCATGGCCCTGTCGATCAGCATATCACCCCATTCCTCCTTCATAATGGCGACCATGACCTCCTGCTGCTGGTGGTCGGCGTGAACCTCGAGGCTGATGATGATGGGCAAGTCGTTGGTTACGAAAGCCGACTCGCGAATGGCGACGCAGACCTCGCGGAAGCCGCAGGGCGTAGTCAAGGTCCAGCCGTGGGTCACAATGGGCTCGTTCTTGGGGTACGGCAAACGCGGGCTCGGCGGGCAGGGCGGCACCACGACGGCACCGCCTTCGAGTTTGTCGCCGGAGACTCTCGGATCCGACAGAAAACCGCTGTCGCGCAGACCCAGCCCCGAGCTGCTCTGGGCGCTCAGGCTCCGGCTGTGCGTTGAGGCGCGATCGCCCGCCCCACCTCCACCGAGAACGCCGCCCACCGTCTCCTTCAGACTGGCGGCGACGTTGGCAAAGGAGGCCCCCGACAGGTTGCGGCTGTGATCGGGCCGAGGACTCTTGGATCGATTCGTCTCCGAACCGGCGGCCACGGTGTCGCCGTTCCAGACGTCAATCTCGATGCAGCGGCAGCCGCGGGACAGGACCTCCCTGTAGGCCTCCGGGGAGCTCTTGGAGGCCAGCTGGTTCCCCTCGAGGTAGGTGTTGTGGCTGCTGCTGATAAAGTAGTTCGTGATGGGCCGGCTGGTGTCCTTGTCAGGGCAGGCCGGGCGCTCGGCGTCCCAGTCGAAGCGCATGAGCCAGGCTTCGAGGAACTCGCCCTGGGTGTACCGATCTTTGTCCTCGGGCAAGTGCTTCTCCACATCAGCGGGACTCTCGCCCTGCATGCTCTCGAGCCAGGCGACAAACTGATCACGCGATATGGTCGTCTCGCGGCGGATCATGGAGCGGCGCTTGAGGAGGTCGTCGAAGGCGCGGCGCAGCTTGTCCATGCAGGCATTGTTGACGTCAATGTTGCGGGGGTCGTTGGTATAGAAGCTCGGGATGTCGGTGCGGGCGAGGATTGGTGAGATGATGTCGTCGAGGAGATCGGGGTGGTGGTCGAGGCCATTGACGTTGATGCGCGGCAGGCTCCTTGTGGTAGCCGTGGTTCGCGGGGTCGCCGTGGTGGCCGTCGAGGATGTGGTGTCGAGCCAGGCACCCTTGGTCGGGGTGAGGATTGTGGAGAGGTTGACCATGTTGCGCAGGGTCGGCAGGCTGTCCTTGTTGGTGCGCGAGAAGATGGGCATGGTGACGGTACGACTGAGGGAGCGCTTCGCCTTGTCATTGTCGCGCGGACGGCGACGGGGCTGGCTGACTGGTAAGCGGTGGTGAGGCTCCCATGGGAACCGGCGGCACGACGTACGAAGATGAAGCACATGGCTGAGGGAGGGGGATGGGGGGGTGACCCTCGAGGGAGCAACTCAGGAAGGGGACGCCAGAGATACGCGCTGCAAGGCGTCAAGTTGATGAGCAGCTAGCCCATTGAGTCGAGGCGAGAGACGTCAGGACATGGAGGGGAGGGCGAGCAAGGCGAGACGTTCGCGGCTGGAAACCGTGGATGCTGTTCGATGGCTGGAGGTTGAGCAGGCGAGCGCTACGCTGTGTGTACTTTGGCGTCACTCACGACACGACGCGATTCCTGGAACAAGAGGATGATAGTACGACGCAAGTTCTGGAGACCAAGGAAGAACGGAAGAGGAAAATGAAAATCAAACGAATGTCAGCAGCCAGCTGAAGTGCATGGCAGAAGCGGAGGATAGCCAGCCAGGAGGGATATGCAGCCTTGTCGCTTGTCGAATCGCCTGGGTCTGGGTCTGGGTCTGGGTCTGTGTCTAGGTCCAGGTCCAGGTCCAGAGAGGGCAGGTCTTGGGTCGCCCCACGCCGCTGCAATGCACAGGCTCTGGGGCCTAGCTGACGGGTCCCGTCAGCGCCGCGGCGGGCAGGGCCGGGCCTCTAGCGGATCTTTCACCAGTCGATAGGCCACGATAGGGACGCCGTAGGGCGACGGGGGGCGAAGCACTGCCCCCTCCAAATCGTCCAGAAGCCGCCCTACTCGCTGCCATGCCTTGCGCGCGTGATCCTGCTGGATGATGTGCCTTTATTTTGGGAAACCTTTCCCTGGCATCGGTTGCGACGGCGTCTTGGTAGGAGATGAAAGGGAGCTTGACCATTTATCCCAGTCTGACTATCTGGTCGAGCCCGGGGAAAGGAGAAGAGGAATGGCGGATGGCCAAGGCACCTTACCTACCTAGGTAGCTCCATGCATGGTAGACACCTGGTAAGCTGACATTCGTGTGCGTCTGGGTTGGTTCTCCTCCCACACGGAGCTACCGCAGGCTCAAGGTTGGGGGCCAAAACCCCAGGGCGTCCCCCGTTCAATCGGTGCTAGGTGGTGCTCGAGTGGCCTAATCCGCACACCGAACCCGCTTGAGATTTTGGTTGGCAAGAGGCCAAGTGACCAGCTGAAAACTGGTGGGTTTCTGCGGCAATGACAATTACAGGCAGATTGATTGGTGCATGTCTCGAATTTGACCGTGTTGTTCGCAGTGTCTTGACTGGAAAAGCCCACACTTGATGGCTAACTCCACGCATGAGATGCTTCGTCCAAGATCTCTTGGCCGATGCCACGACGCCGCCCGCGACCCGGCTTCTGGCTGATGATGTCAGCAGGCCCAGGCATGGGTAGAGCTGCGAGTGCTGTGAGCTCTACTGGAGCATGCCGGCCGGTTATGAGTTTTGCCTGCAGTCTCAAGCTCATGCGTTGTGTTCTTGACATGACATGACGAATCCCGTCGTGTCGACACAAGTCCACCAACCTCTTACACCTGTTCGATCGTTCAGTGCAAAAAAGCCACCTCGGAGACACGCGAAAGTCAAATCGTGTACTGACTGCACTGGTGGCGCAAGCACCCGTCGTAATCATCTCATCCACCGATCTGGTCCCGCATCCCGAGACTCATGTCATCAACCGCCATGGCACGCACAACGAAAAATGTGAGCCCCGAGGCAGAGGTCAAGTCGTGGGGTTTCAAGCAGGTCTTCACCTGGACAGACACCCCGTAAGTCGCCCCTTGTCGTGACGCCGGCGCAGCAGCAACAGCAGCAGCAACAGCAGCAGCAGCAAGGCAGTCTTTCGCTGACACCGAAGGAGGGGCACCCACTACCCCCCGCACAGCCACCGGGCTTTGACGACGCACCTCATCACGAAAGGCAGCCTCACCATAACCTATCCCGAGGATGAGAGCCCGGTCAAGGAAACCCACGGCGTGGGCGAGCGTGTAGACGTGGCGGCAGGCCGACAGCATGAGGTCTGGGTCGGCACGCAGGGTTGCACCATGGTCATCGGGGAATAGAGAACCAAGCTAGCAGCGGAGGCGGCGGTCAGTGTTCATACAAGTCAAACAACGGCTTCTGGATAAACTTCGTTGTCATGCACCCTTCAAGCAACAGGTAGCAGAATGGACCAAGGTGGAACGCTTGCGACCGCCATGACGTAGATCCGCGGGACTCGTTCGTGACGAGTTTCCACAATGATGGAAACGACGCAGAAGTGCTGTACAGATGATCCCTGGAGAGACTCCAGTCGCCCAAAAAGGTCCGCCGAACCCGAAACAGCCACTGCTTGTGCACAGCAACCGAGTGGCCGGTGCTGGTCAGAAGATAGAAGATGAAGCTTCAGGGGTTGTCAATCCCTTTGTCAAAGATCGCCCCCCCGCGTTGAAAACCAGAAAAAAAAAATAACAAGTGTCCATCATCAGGGTCTGACGGCCGTCTGACAACTTGCGACTGGCCCTCGGGCGACGGCAATGGCGAGTCAAGTACACGAACGCGACCTTGCTAGAGAGGGCGATTCGCGAAAACAGGGGGTTCCCTCTTTATGCGGAAGCTAGCCAGCATGGTTTGTTCGGAGCATTGAGAAGAGGTTTGATCTGCAGCCGTGTTCGCGCCAGGGCTAGTATGGACGCCAGCCTGCAAACGGCCTTTTTCTTCTTTACTCGTTAGATTACTACGATCGATAGTGGTTCCTCTAGTGACGACGTGCGTGTTCATTCGGGTCCTCGGTTGCCCCAGTAGAGCGAGCTCGAGGGCGTGCGCATGTCGTGATTAATATCGATGATGGCCGTCTGCTAGACAAACAGGACGAGATGGGAAATTGCCTGTTGCGACTGGGACAAGGAGTCCCAAAGGAGCAAGAATTGGTCCGACCGCGTCTTCTCCTAGACCAGGGGTTGTCGTTGATGGTTTCGGGCACCAGGGTGAGGGGGTGAATCCGGCGTCCGTTATTTTGTTTCTTTCTCTTTGTCGCCAGTGCCGAAATGGCTACGCATGTTCAATGCTCAGCCCGGTCAGGGACTGGTGTCAAGGCTTTGGACCGATTGGGCCTTCATCAGCATGACGGGTCGTGGCGTGTTGATTGAATGCGTACCAGAGGGGGCGTCCTCTGCTTGTCGATTGGCGGGGCGGCGACGACATCTGAAACGAGGGGAACACAGTTGGCAACGACAGACCGGCCGGCCGAGTCATTCAGCGCGACCAAGTTATTCGACGGGAATAGCCATCGTGGCCTCCCCATCGGAGCGAGCTGAACCAACCTGAAAGCTGGCTGGGACTGACTGTGCACGATTGACAGGTGCCGAAGGCGGCGGCGCTACCTGGAGCCAGTAGTCCGTCAACTAGCTCCCCTGGAAACGGTCATAGTCGCAGCCCGTGACAGGGAAGCATCTTGCAGAAGGGGAGATGAATCAAATCGGCGGAGGGAGAGAAGAGAGACCGGAGCATGCATGCGCATGAGCCAGTAGAAAACAATGCCGACAGGTGCAGGCAAAAGCCTACGTAAGATGGGTAGTTCGAAGCTGCTGCTGACGATGATGATGATGAATACATGATGGGTGCCGGGAGCAGGAGTTGCGATGTCATAGCCAGACAGCCAGGCTGACTCCATAGCGGCCAAGTCCAGCGAGGCACGGCACCTCGCCCGTGGGCCATGGCACTCAACCTACAGGTGCACAGCGGACCGGCGTCAGGGTGGGCAGGGGCCACGCAAACGTGGTGTGGCTTACTCCACGTCTGGTGCGATGTAGAGGGTACAAGCGAGGGGGGGTCCGCTACGCCAGGAACCACATACGGCATCCTCGTCCATCGCACTGTCGCTTCTGTGACATCGCAATTTCACAGCCTGGAATTCGCATCACGAGTCCTCCATCATTTCGCCTGCCATTTGCTCCATTTCCCATATCCACACTAGTTGGCACGACGCGAAGCATCGGCAGCTCACCTCGACGCCCATATGGACGAATGTCTGTGACGACTCTCCGGCAGCCTCGTTTCTCCTCTGGCGTTGGAGATACTCGTCTCAGCAGTGAACATGTCTCTCTCTCTCTCTCTCTCTCTCTCTCTCTCTCTCTCTCTCTCTCTTGACTTACCTACCTAGGCAGATGCATCGAGGCTCTCAATGCAGCCGAACTTATACCTACTTTACCTTGACCAGGCATACTGGGCGGGCAGCAAGGATCCATTCGATCCGACACGCCGTAGGATTGACGTACATGTGTGTCTGTTTGATGTGCCGCCAGGTTAGCGAGCGAGCGTGCGTCTTGGTCGTCTTGGAAGCAATATGACGACCCTGTCACGGCCAGTGGTGGCTCGGAAACGCCATTGAAGCCAATTGTGCGAGCAAGTACTGGGTACCTTCGGCACCACATTCCCCCCACCGGATCTACTCATCTCAAACCAACCTAGTAGCTACTGGGCTGAGGTTCTCCTGCTCCAACCATAGGTACCTTAGCTAGCTACCTTACCAGGTAGGTCCTCAGCTAAGGTTGCTAGCTTGGTAGGCACCTCAATTCGATGTACCAACTTCCGTCTGGTCTGCAACCTCCTGGTTTCCAAGTTTCTTGATGTACGAGTCGAAATCGGCATCGCCCTTTTCGATCCGTCCCAACTCTCTCCTCTACTCCATGTGCCTCTAGTCGACTCAACCTCCCTCTTGCTCTCCCCTCTCCCCCTCTCCCCCTCTTCTCCCTCCTCGTTCTCCCCTCGATCCTTTCCGCTTCGCCCTCTGGTCCCTTGTCTTGGATCGTGCATTCTGGATCTTGGTGGTCCTTGATACGTCAACGCGCCGTACCTCTTCTCTCTACAAAACCACAAGAACCCCCCCTCCTCTCCCCTTCCCCCTTTGACGCTTGCTTCACTCTTGCTCTCTTTCTAGCTCTACAACCTTATCACCGCCGTTATATGACGGTCCCCCTCCTATATCGTCCAGGACTGAGCATCCTCTCACTGGCATGCCCGACTCTGACCGCCACCTGTGAACCACGAACGCGAGTCGGCAGTTCCAGGCACAGCAATCCCCCGGCATGGATGTTTCAAGTCGCCTTGCGCTACGTTCTTAAACACTGGCACTCCTGTTACCCACCGGCCGCCTTTCTTCTGACGCCGAAGCTCTTGGACGCCCTCAACGTCACTGTCTCCGGGCTACGTATCTGAGCCTGGCTCCCACACTACTCGACTAGCTATCTCATTGCTGGCTTCGTGCGTTGGCGGGGACTCACGACTACGACAAACAGACTATACAGCGAGTTTGAAAACTGAAGTGAGAGCTAGGCCGGTTTTCTCCTCTTCGGCACGTCACTATTCGCCATGGGCAACGCACCGTCTGTCGAGACGCTGCATTCTCAATCAAATATTCACGCCGCGCAGGATATATATTCGCCGCCGCCAGCCAAAAGGCAGCCGCAGAAGCTCTCAAAGCCGCGCGTCGGCAATCATGCATCGTCCAATACAGCTTCCCGCCGTCGGGACTCGAACGCTCCGTCGATTGCTTCCAGCGTCTCACCGCTTCCGCCAAATCCCAGCCCCAATCCCAACCAAAACTTGACCGTGGACACGCGCCGATCCTCTGCATTGCCATCGCCAGTGATGCTTTCCCCAGCGCCATCGAGCTTTTCCAATGTTCTCATAGCGCCTTCAATCCCGCCGGAGACAACTTCGAACCACACCGGCGGCTCCAAAGACTGGTATCGACGCTCCTCGGGGCTTTTCCGGTCGAAAAGTTCCCAAGAGGACAGGACGAATAGGAGGAGAAGCGGCCTGGTGCCACCCATGCCTGGCGAGAGGTCTTCCAGAGCCAATTCCATGAACTGGGAATCTCAAGCAAATTTGGACCACGCCAGGCAACAGTTGGAGAGGTAAGCGATGCATGGAGTAACCTACCGTCGCCATTTGAAGTGGCTAATTTGGGTTATCACAGCTGGAATATCGCTGGTAACCGCCAGTCGGTCAATTACGACATGTCTTCTTACGAGTCGAGGCGATTGCTCAACATGACGGACCAAACCCTGGTCCAGGAGCCCGAAGCATTTACGGTTGAACCCCAGCTGGGTGAAATTGATCAAGCCACGTGGAAGAGCTCACATCCTCACGAGGTGCCAGCTATATCCATACCGAGAGTGGATTCTAACGTGTCCCTTTATGCGCCTGCTCGTCGTCGCTCAGTGATCCAGACGCCTGGTGTGGCGACGCGCAAGCCAGGGGATAGTTCCGTGTCACGAAAATCGAGCTTCCGCCACAGCCACCCGCCGACCCCCGTAGGTGGTCGCTCCAGGCGTGGTTCGTACGTGGCAGAAGCCGAAGTCGTACGGGTCATATCAATGCCACCCCCAAGAATCATTGCCGTGGATGAGGTGGAAAGGGTGGAGACTCCGTCAGAGCTCGATTACAGGCAGCTGGGAGCCATGAAGCACGGTTCCCTGAGAATTACCAACGGCGCCGCCAGCCCCGCCCCCAGCATCGACGGCGACCTTCCGCACGACAATGCTTTCGATAGGGCCCAGGAATGCGAGATACCCATGGCCGTGCAAACTCCCAAGCAGACGCTTGCTCCTATCACTACCACTTTTATCAATCGCAAGACTGTTTCTTCCGTTTCCCAAAGCACGTTTGTCGGTTACGAAGAGCCTGGAGATACGTCGGGTCACTGTCTTTCGCCCGAGTACGCCCCTTACGAGGTTCTCGACGTAAGAGAAGATCCCAGTGCAAAGCCGGCTATTGAACGACCCGTAGCAAGGCAAGATATTGCACAAGGCGTCGTGCGAACCGACAGTGGGCTTGTCGTCACACCTGTATCAGAGGGGCCTGCAGACGTTCTCAGACCTTTGGCAAAAGCCGATTCTGGATATAGCTCAAACGTCTCGCTGCGTTCGTTCAGCTCCAGGAAGGCTGTTGGAGGGAATGAACGTCCCAGTCGCGCCAGAACAGATGGGAAGGCCAAGACATCGAGCGATGCCATGGATACAAGTCCTAACACTAACGACCTCAATGGAATGGGCTCGACGCAGCCTTGCTTTTCAGATCACCAATTTGAGAGCAACACTGCGCTATCACCTCGAATTTGTTCGCCGACAGACCTTGCTTCTCCGAAGCAGGTTCTCTCGCCTTGGAGTCCTCTCCAGACAGCGTCCGACGACATGCACTCTCCGTCCTCCTCGAGCAAGATGCGCAAAAGGCTGCACGCTTCCTCGTCCTACATCTTCGGCCGAACGCCTGAGAAATCAGAAAGTACGCCGGCTAGCTCTGCATCTATGGGTCCTGCAGAGGAAAGATCCAGCTCAGCGCTGAGTATCGGCGGCAACAGCGGCAACAGAAACAAGCTCCAAAGGCTGCTTAGTGGCGCAGGTATGCGCGGGCCGCCTGCCGTTCACCCAACCCATTCTGTCGAATCGTCTATTCCATCAATACCTCGGGAGGTTGAGGCAAAACTTATGGAACACACGGGAAAGTATCCAATGATGTCCAAGCAACTCACTGTGCATCATCAACCAAGCAAAGACACCCTGAAGACAATATTGAGTGTCGGTAGCGTAGAAGCTGGTGGTATCAACAGCATTCGGGACTCGTTGACTTCACCAGAAGCAACCTCAGCTGCTGTCGCTGAGACGTCCAAAGGTGCACGTCGACGGAGTCTGCAGCCCATTTCGGCGTCAATCTCTCAGGCAGCAGCAGCGATCATGTCGCGCAAAAGCATCCGGCGAAAGCCGATCTCCACGCACAAGCAACAGAGCGACCAGTCTCAGGAAAATGAACTCATCCAGAACGGTTTCGAATCGAGCGTCACGAGCATTGACTCGACCCGCGATAGCGTTGGCCGAAGTGCGTTCGATCAAGCCTTCATCGCCCTTCCCGCGGATGACCGCCAATACACCGACACGAGGAGGTCCATGACTATGACGGCGCAGCAGGAACGAGATCTGGGTTACTGCCGTCCACCACCCATCAGAACAAGATCGTCTGCTAGTAGGCAGCCCTCGCCATCATGCAGATCGCCAATCCCGGAGCTACCCGAAACGTCCCCGCCTCGACAGAAGATGAAGTCGATGCCTCCTGTTAGTCTCAGAACACGCAGAAAGTCGGCTGGAGCCAGTCCACAATCGATGTCGCGCAAAAGCAGCCGCGATAGCTTTCAAGGCCCGCCTCTCTCCGCACCACCTGTGCCGTCCATCAAACCTGAATTCCAGCACCTCCAGCATGCAGCTTTTGCTTCGGTGCAGCCCAGCCATCTCAACTCCTCTGCAAACCGCGGTACCTCGTCTGCCGCAAACCATGGTATTCATCGCCCTATGAGCGCCACCGTCGGAGCTCAGCAAGTACGCAGTCCAGGCCTGCGACACCGGTCCAGCTACGACGGTCACAGCAGTCTCCAGCGGCATGCTGGCTTCGGACAGGGCCGGTACCAGACTAGCACGCAAATGCAGATGCAGACTGGGGGATACTACCAGAACCAACTCTTGCAGCTTCAGGAGCAGTCATGGCGCGGGGAGGAGCAGAACTTCGGTCGCTCAGGGCCTGCTGACCCTCGACTCGGCCATTCGCGAAACCAAAGCGGCGGTACGAACCCACCCTATCGAATACTACACAGCTACAACTCGCCGGCATACCGAAACGTCCAACTCTGGAGCTGAGCACAGCGGACACACAACTCATTCGAATCTACAAAGCGTCCGCGCCCCGGCTTTCCTTCTCTATACCATGGCATGGTGTATCATAAGGCATGTCATGATGTGCATCGGCAGGCCCCTTTTCACACAACCACGATCCTTCAACGTTGTAAACATATTTCCTTTGCAAAGTACGGCACGCACGCACCTGGCGTACGTCGACCGACGCGACTTGGATACACCAGACCTTCCCCGCGGATACACACGCTTTTCCTATTTCTTCTCTCTTTTGCACAAATACACAGACTCACACACGCACACAACTGGATGTACCTTTCCTTCTGACGAATACCGGATCCGGGAGCCCGAAAACGGCAAGAGATCTTGATGACACCAGGCAGTGGTTGATACGCATACGCATTTTATACCTTGGGACGGGCCGGTTTTGGTCTGGAAGACCAATCGATAGATTCTCCATTTGTTGTTCGGTTTTTGACTTGATATACCCCTGAAATTGACCAAGTCTTTATCGTCGTCTCTCAAAAGCTGAATGTAGCGCATAGCCTGGTTGCTGTTGTAGTGACATTATTGAGTCTATGTAGCCCTGCAACGGTCAACTTAAAGCTACCTCGCACGAAAATTTCACGCGTACATGATTGAAGTAAGGCCGTCTTTCAATTTTCCAACATATTGAGCTCTGTTCATCACCTCTGTCCCAGTTGCACCCTCGCCACGACATTCGTAGGATCTACCAGCTGCCTCCAACCGCACACGCCCAGACGCGAGAAACGAGAATAGGCTTAAAAAGCCTGATGACAGAGACCTCTGCATTATACCCCAAGTGCGGGCCTACACGCCGTCCGAGGTAGAGCTGGCTTCGCTCTTGCCCCAAGGGCGGAGTCCGCGCCGGGCCGGGCCGCGGGGCGGGGCCCCTTTCTTCTCCCTGTCGCCGCGGCGGCCGCAGATGTGAAGGCCGCCGACGCCCTCGAGCAAGGGGGCGCAGGCCAAGGCCGGATGCAGGACGTTGAGCAGCAGCACGGCCGTGGCGATCATGGCGCTCTCAAAGGCGATGAAGAGGTCCTGGCGGCGCATGAGGGGCCCCGTCCAGCCGCCGGAGAGCTCGGCGACGCGGAAGACGCAGCGGATGAAGATGCAGACGAAGCTCAGGGTCAGGGCGGCGAGGAAGGCGCGGAAGAGGCGCGAGGCCCGCACGGCCGACAGCGTCGGGTCCTGGTCGAGGGCCGCGGCGGCGCCGAGGCGGCGGCTGCGGCGGAGCGTGTTGAGGGCGAAGTCGGCCGTCACGAGCATGAAGATGAGCATGGTCACGACCTGGAAGACGAGGCCGCCGAGCATGATGTTGTCGCCCGTCTCGGAGGACTCGTCGTTTGTCGAGGCGATGGAGGCCATGGCGCCGCCGAGGGCCTGGAGCACGAGGGAGATGACGTCGCACGGGATGAACTTGGGGCGGGGTGCGCGTTAGCCTTGAGTACGTCGCGGGGCGCGGAGGAGCACGGCTTACGATGCGGGTGTACCACTCGGGCTTGATGCGCGAGTTCGCAGCGCCGTAGGCGTAGACGATGCGGCGCAGACACAGGTAGATGCCGGCCGCCAGGAAGGCGGGGCCGATGGTGAGGCAGCAGATCTGGATGAGGAAGCCGTTCTCGTCCCAGCGGTTCTGCCAGCTGACGACGCGGCCGGCGTAGCCGAGAATCTCGCAAGCGACGCCGAGGATCATGGCGATGAAGAAGGAGAGGCCGCGGCGGGTGACGGCGTAGGTGGTGATGTAGGCGAGGGCGGAGAGGGAGAAGAGGGCCAGCATGGTCGCGTTGGCGCCGATGCTGAGGCGGTACTCGTAGTAGCTGTCCATATCCTCGCATTCGAGGCTGTCACTGTTGTTGTAGCACCAGTCAAACCAGTCCCGGTCGGACCAGGTTTCGGAACCGGTGGGAGCGCTCATGATGAGAGAGTGGGAGAGAAGTATGGGAGAGACAAGGCAGCAGGTGTGAGGATGAAGACGAAGTCGAGGGGATTCTAGAGAAGAGCCGGTGGGAGGGAGGTGAGTTGTTGCTTGCAGACAGGAGGTCAGGAGAGGAGGTGGACATGGGCCATTATATGGGAAGTGCTACGATGAACCTGCCGATGATTGCGAGTGCTGCTCAACATGCTGCCAGGCGAAGCACGTTGAAAATAGCAGTAAGCCATGAACACCTCTGTGCAAAAAGGAGTGTATCAACTCGGAACCGCGTATCCAGCAAGCAATCAGAGCAGAGACATCAGGCACCAGCATCTGCAAAACAGCGGTACTGGGGGTGGCTGTGTCGTCCCGAGCGATGGATGACACAGCACGATAAACGCGAATCGAGAGGGCTTAGCATCCTTCGATCTGCGAGGAAAGGGGACCACGAAGGGACGAGACGCGAAGTGCGATGGACCGTGAGCGGTCTCAGGATATGACGAGGAAGCGAGGCGGCCAACGAGAGCGCGGGTGTCAGCCTCCAACAGCCCGTCACCGCATCTTGTCGACGGGCGTTGAGGGCGTCAAGGGGGGCCATCTGTCATCCCGGCAGACGGCCGGGTGTCGTGTGTCGTGTGTCAGACGGGAACCCTGCCAGCTCATCAACAGCCTGACATGGCTGAAGCTATCGCTTCCTCCGCCTGTCAAGTTCCTCGGGGACCGAGATGGAGATGAGAGGCGTCTTCGAACGTGGCTCAGACCGCCCGGGGAGTGAGCAAAAGTGCGAGTGCGAACGGCCCAGTCAGAAGAGTGCCTCAGCGAACATGTCAGCAGGAGCTGGAGTTGGTACGACGTGGGCTTTCTGAGCACGTTCACCCACGGGATTAGATCTTCATGGGGTCACTCATCCTTCGAAGCTTGAACTTTCAGGCAGAGGTCACAGTAGCCGCCAAAGAAGAAAAGAAGCTTATCATAGATCAAGATTCTCTACGTGGTGGGCACGTTGCTGTGTACCGTAAGCCGAGAACGTGCTGGACGGGTGAGGCTTTGCCATGCAGACAGCTTGTCTCTAGAGAGGCAGGCAATGTGTGAGAATTGAACATCACCACATGACGCTCCATAGGGCTGCTTGCAGATAGCTTCTTCGCTCGTACGCCGTCGTTGTCCTGAATGAAGCGAGGTGAGCGAAGAGGCGAAAGGCCGAAGAAGCGAGAGCCGGCTTGGCGCACACGTACACGTCCAGGATCAGAACAATCAGCAGAGCACGGGCCACTGCTTGTCTATTCCTACATCAGGCAGCGACCGATGCAGAGCCTCCTCGCTGTTGTACTGCTTGGGGTTGCTACTTCGACAACATACTCGAGGTTTACCCAGACTTCTGGGCTCGATATCGACGTAATTGCTAGAGAAAAACAAAATTACGTCTTTATTGTGTGCTCCTATCCTTGGGGATCTGCGCCATGTGTGCGCTTTACTGAAGTAAAAAAACCTACTGTCTCAAGTCAACATGTGCTCTCACGTCTTCTTCTTCTTCCTCCTCGCCTCTGACACCGGGCTGGCGTTTATGACGCCCTTGGTATCGATGCCTCCCGTCGTCACCAGCCCAGAGACGCCCGGTGCTTTCCCCGTGCCAATGTTGATCCCGCGCCCGCCCTCGAAACTCAGCGCGCTGCCGCCGCTGCCCCGACGGACGCCAATGCCCTTGAGCTTCGTCGCCGGCGACTCCTTGACCTCCTGCGCCCCGTCCAGCGTTTGCTGATCAGCCGTCGAGGGTCGCGAGTCCGCGCCATCGTCGGACGATGCCGGCCTGTGCTCGACCGCCTGGTGCTGATGCTGGTGCTGGTACGCTGTCCGCGCGCGCGTCGTGTTCTGCGGCGACGGGATGCCCGACGGCCGCCCTCGTGACCTCTGTTGCACGGGCGTCGTGGGCGTCACGGGCCGAGTGCCATTCTGGCCATTTCCTACCACCAGCGTCGACAGGTCGCTCGTCGAGGCGTCGCTTGCGCGGGAGGCGTGACCGTGGTACGCAGCACCCGACTCGATGAGGCTCTCCTCCCGCGCCATCTGATACTTGGCAAACTCCTCCGCCGAGTGCTGCGGGTCTGTAAAGTTGTCGAGCGCGTCGAACACGTGCGGAAACACCTGATGGTCGACGTCGCGCCCCCATAGGAAGTCGAGGTGCTCGTAGTGCGGGATCTCCGTCGCCACCGTCTGCGGCGGCAGCTCGCGCAGCATCACCTTGATGTCGACCAGCGAGTCGCTGCCGCCGTAGACGAGCACGATCGGCGTCTTGATGTTGCGCGTCGGGTACTTGGCCACCTTGGTGTACTTGCTCGACGTGTTCAGCGACATGTGCTGCTGCACGTCGTCGTCGTACATCTGGAAAGACTTGTTGCGGATGATCTGGAACCAGTGCACCACGCTCTTGGTGCTGGTGAACGAGTACAAGTGCGGGTAGGCGGCCAACTTTTGGCTCACGGTTATGTTCTTGGTCCGCCAGTTGAAGAGAAACGTCAGCCCGTAGTCGATGAGCTTGACGAAGATGGGCGGATACAGAATCGACTGCCACATGGTGGCCGAGCTGAGGATCGACCGGCGACCGAACAGCAGGAAGAGGACCTGCGGGGACGCCTTGACCAGTGCGTCCACGATACCGTTCGACAGGCCGGCAGGCGACATGGCGGGCGCCAGCGCGATGAACACGTTGACCTGGTCGTTCAGCTTGGGGTGGATGGCCAATGTCGCGAAAGCTTGCGCCGTGCCCTGGGAGAAGCCGATGTACGACAGGCTCTTTTGGCTCGTGGTGTCGAGAATGTACGAAATGCTGTCGGGGATATCGTGGAAGGCAAACTCGTCGATGGAAAAGTTCCAGAACTCGAGGGATGTTGGCGAGTGCTTGACTGACTTTTTCGAGTACTTGTTGCCTCGGTTGTTCCCCAGCTGTGGCGTGTCAACGTCGCTGTACATCTAGGCCGAACTTGGGGTATCAGGGAACTCACCCAGACATCGTAGCCCTGCTCGACGAGGACAAAGGGAAGGCAGCGCTCAGCGTCCGTCAGACAGACCCAGA